ATATATATATATATATATATATATATGTTCAGCAATTAATCATCTTTTTGCATTACTGATTCTGACGTTGGATACTTCTGACATCTTCACTGTATTCGCCTATCACTCAGTCCAGTTAGTTCCAATACATTCCAGATTCGGCTGTTTCTCTCCATTCATCGTCCATTTCCCGCTTTGTGATACAGTTCCACCACTCACCAACTCAACCGAGCAGTATAATCTTCTCTGTTTTGTAAAACTATAGAAAAAAAGCTTGGAGGAAAATAGACCTAAGAATTAAGTGAAAGAATAAGGTGGTCAGTAAATGATATGCTATACTTTTAGGATTTCACAATACAAATTAATGGATGAGATAAAAAATTCGTAGAACATCAGCATTAAAATTTAATCCTATGTAATCATTTTTCTCTAGTTGAATAATTAAAAAGACACAATAGGATATATATGTGATAGCACTGAAAATAAAATTTCTCGAATAAAGGCAAAAATAATTCCAAAACTCCAAGCTTTAAATGATTACCAGATCTTTCGTTGTACACTTTTACCGAAACTATTGGGAATGTTCATAATTTAAAAAAGTTTCATATTTCCAAAGTTAATATTCACATACGCATAACTCTCAACGTTACATTACACTACTTCGTTTAATTCGCTCGGGAGTTCCAAACCTTGGCACGAATAAAAGCTATCACTTTCCTGACTTTGTAATGACATACAAGAGCGTGTTTTCTGGCAAAAACTGTGACTCCTGACCTTCTCGAGTTCCACCAGTGTTGATTCATCATCAAATTGTCCAGGTTCAAAAATAAGATTGTTCTCCGTAGATTCTACGTGACTGAAGAAAACAAAATCTTAAGTGCAAATAATTGCATTGATCTTTTATTTTTCAAAAGTGTTTTACAGATAATGAGGTAGAATATAATTCCATGTCCTGAATTTCAAATTTTTTGACTACAATAGAAGCAAGATAATAAACCATCATACTAATTTTATAATGTAAATAAAAACCACAAAGATACTTCTTTCTTCCTGCTTCCATTTTGCAATCTTTAAAGTCATTATGAATGTTAGCCGTAGAGGTTATATCGGAAATCCGAGCCTGTCGTGCAAGAAAACGCTGTCGTTGAAGCTGAATGAAAATATTTGCAGGAATATCAGGTATTACATAGGCAACCGCAGCTTTCACAAGTGCCACTGTATGCTGCAATGCCTTGAAAAATAATTGCTGGAAAAACAGCAATAAACCAAAAAAAAAATGCTCCCTAAATAGAAATACAGCGTAAGAAAAATATAAAAATCGCAAATAAATTTTATCTAACCTCAAAAATGAGTATAAATGCCAAACGAAAAGAAAAAACTATCCACCATCGCATAGTGAGACCATATTCATCATCACAGTCTAATGATGAAGAAATAGTACACGGAACTTTTCTATAGTCACGAAACCTGACAAATTGTAATTAATAAGTATGCAGTACTTCTTTCAGATAATCAGCATTCAAAAGGAACACTTAAGTTATAAAATTTCATATGCCGCAATTTTGTTCCTTACATCTACATTAATTTGTAGTTGAGTGATTAACTACAAAAAGCTAAATTTGACTTAGAAAAAAATTGACTAAAAAAGCAGCGTATTTTATCTGCTTCGTCATCTATACGTCCTACAATTACAAAATAATGAAAACAGAACTCCAAAAATCTATGATAAAGTTTTAAACTAAGACAAGGAACCTGCAAACTGTAATGTTTTCATTTTCGAATTGGCTCCATTTCACAAAAATTTTAGATGAATCATAAAATGAGAGTGAACTGTTTACAAATCCATACAAGTCATCGTGCATGTAAACAAATCGATACACAAAACGAGGTATAAAATCACTAGTAAACGCAATTATGCAAGCCTTTAAATACAAATTAATGAAAAAATCTTAGGTCCTTTAAACAGTTTTTTATTTTTGCCCAAAAAGTCTTATCTTGAAAGAATGTCTGGAATTTCAAAGTTAAGAGCTTGCCGAACTTAAAAAATATATTACATTTACAAGGACTGCTGCTCTGCTAATCATATTCAAGATTGGCAACCAAATACCAATATCACGTTCCCGTTCTGGCATTGGACGTCGCGTAGCGACCACATACTTGTATGCATCAACTCGGATTTCCAAAATATTATTCAGCAAAGCAAAAAGTGGTGCAAGAGGAAATGCTGACACGAAAAGGGTTACAAAACCAAACTGTATCACTGAAAAACTATCAATTACAAAAATCTGATAAGTTGATCTGAAAAACATGTGTTTCCAAATAGTCAATGCAAAGAATTCATCCTTCGAAAACATTGCAGAAATATGTTTTTAATTTTCAAAGTTCTAGAATAAACAATTCTTTTTATTATGAATATAATTTAGAATTTCAAAATGAAATGAACCCATTTCCAAGTACTCATCGAATAAGAATTGCTCATAAACTGGGTTGAGTATATAATCATGCTCCCATCTTGCTATCATTCCATATCTACCCATCTCTTCCGTCAGCTCATCTTTTATTCTTCTGTCACGCTGTTTCTTGGTCTCCAACAGTTGCAATGAGCGCAACCAAGTCATCAGAAGCCTGAAAAAATTTTAGTATGGAAACCAAATTCCTAGAAAAAATATAAAAATTATGAACACATTACTTACGGCCACGCAAATTCTACAAAGCCATTCCAGAACTGTTTACCGCACATAATAATTGCTAGTTGTATAACGAGTTCAACCATACAACCAGCTGGATCGCATTCTTCTGGACGAAGACCAAAATATTGCCTTCCAGGTACACTTGATAAACTGTAAAATTATGTATATAAAAAAGATGAATTTCATAGTTCAGTCTCAATAAAGAACGATCAACAAATAAAAGTATTTTATATTTGAAACTAATAACAGCCCTAGTAACTCAAGCATGTAATTAGCGTTTCTTACGGGACGTGAAATAACTGATGAACTATTAAAAATAAAAGCTAACGTTAAACTGTTGATCCTCACACAATACAAACACATACTTGCCCTTAACGAATGCAATGTAGAAAATCGATGAGTAATAGTTGATAAATTGAAATAAAAACACTTTAAAAGTATAACTGTTATCAAAGTCACGTTGTGTTCTGGGACATTCCCAATCCGTTAACTTCAAGGCAAGATAAGTATAAAGCTAGAACAATTAATACATGAAATGGTGAAAACAAACAACTAGCAATGATTTGTGCACTTTCTTAATTATGATGTCTTGCTTAATATGATACTTACTTAGTGATGCTGTGTCGTTAAAGACGGGAAGTAAGAAGTACGATACATCACAAATGTGAGAAAAGGACAAAATTAAAAAAATATTTATTTTATTTTGTGCGCATTTTTTGATTTGAATAAATAGTTTTAAATGAAAAATTCAACTTAAGGATTTCTGTGGTCATACAAAATAAATCCTTCTTCGCTAACCAATTCAATTTCTCAAACATACATAGCTCATTGCTAGAATAACTGCTAAATTCAGTGTGGCAGCTGTAGTGAAAGTGACAAGATTAGCATACGGTTTCATCCTATCTATCCGATAAAGAACTTGAGAAAATACGATTCGATAAATTATGATACCAATGACGAATGCTAGCACAAGGAAAAGCTGAAAATAAATGGAGTCAATTTGCACAAGAATAAAGATTTGTGAATTTTCTGTTACTTTAGAATGATTTAATGAATTCTGAGAGCTTCCAAAAAGAACCACTATAAGATCTATGGAATACAATAAAAAACTTTACTTCATTTAGTTTTCTATTTGGTAACACTAAACAATTTTCTTCCTTGAACAAAAAACTGATCAGAATCAACACTGCTAATGAAACTTACAAAAAACAAAACCGTCACACCTGACCCAACGAAACGCAAAAATTTATCCCGAAAAGTTAAGTATGGTTCTTGTTGCTGCGTGACTGGATTGAAACGCATAGTTTTTGCTTTCTTTACACGCAATTGATATTCTGGTCTTATTGTTTCCTGAACTAATAATTGATCATCAAAATAAAAATAAATGATACAAAAAGAATATTTGGCTCAGTACTCTACTACTGAAAATGAATCTATGGTTCACCATCAAAAATAAAGAAAAAAATACTTGATCAGGAGAGATGAGAGAAAAAAGAGAATAGAATATGACAAATTTAAAATGAAATAAAAAGTTCAAATAGATAAACTACGAAATCTGCTAACTCGTTTTTATCTTTACTTTATTAGCAACAAAATAAGTTGACATCAACGTTATGGACATTACAGTAACATAAGATCAAGAAAATACTCATTAAGAGTCATTTTTTCAAACCCAAAAGAGGAGCTCGGAATCTTAGTGTCACTTTCACATTTTTTATTAATATGATAAGAACTAAACTCTTTTAAAGTTGCTGTCAAAGTCCTAATTAGATTTTTTTCTTCGATAAATAAATGACCTCATCAACTTCGAAATCAAGCAAACCCCATTTCCAAGCCACTTCAGCATGATATCTCTTCCATCCTTCCAAAAATAGAGTAGCAAATATACTCATCAAAGCAGCAAATACAACAGTCGATGTATTATCAAACACATATGATAGCTAAAATACGTAACATATAATAAAAATTAATTGAAAAATAAAAAAGGCGCTAAGAATGTCACAATAATGATAGAAGATGTAGTAAAAAAAAACTAAGCGACAACAAAGTTGCGAGCCAAACTGAATATAGTGACACATTTCAATTCAAGTAAATAATCTTTTTTGGAAAAACTTATCAGATGAGAATTTGAATTAAGATTTATACAGTGCAGCGATATAATACCTTTGAATAAATGCAGCTAGAATTAAGTCGAGTATAGTCACAATATTTATCACACGTAGGGCATAATATTGCTTTCGCACCAATACCATCGCTCCCACATATGTCGTTACTATAAAAATTGAACATAAATCGCTATTAATGTTACGAGTAACATTGAGAAAACCTTTAAACTCAAATAAATGCGAAATTGAAATATGTATTTCAAAGAGAAATGTTAATTTTCAGAATATTAAACATTAAATCCGAATATATGATTAAAAACGCTGACTATAAGATCTCAATATGTGGTGAAAAAAAAAACATGCAGACAAATGCTATTCTATTTCTCGTTTACCTATGATAGGCAGACATTACTTAAATTTATGAAGGAATATATATAATGTAAAAATTAAATATTAAAGGCACTAGACAGTTATAAAGATGAGAAAATCTCAGACCTTAAAGAATAAGTTTTGAAATAAAAACTAAATATTATAGAAATATAAGCTTTTAGATATAAAAAATGAAAATTTACAGAAAGAAAAAGTTTTTAAGAGAAAAACCTTGGAATATCTTCTGAAACAGTCGATACTCCGTACGAAAAACACATGATGCCAATGACAGAAACAAACATCAAAACTTTTGTATAATAACCTAACCACGCGAAATACCAACCAACTTTTGAACCAAAGTACTTTCTGGAAATTTTATGGTTATGAACACTCTGAAATTAAATAAACAGATTACTGGTACTTTGAAATAAGATTACAATCAAAAGTAAAAGCCTGATAAATTTTGTTTGTTCTGTTTGAAACACAGCCTTTGTGAAGAATGATTGATAACATTATGCATCAACTAAATTTTCTAGTTCATCAAGAAACTTTTTCACATTTCAAATTAAGTGAAAATGAAAGTGAAACTGAAAACAAAAGAGAAACATAAACAGACTTCACTAAAGACAGAGGTTGAAATTTGTAAATATTTGTGATGCGAGCCCAATTCCAGTATAAAAGCTCACGATCTGTACATTTTTCAGCATTGTATCTATTCCAATCGCATTCCTATCGAAAAAAAATTAACTGATAACATTAGTTACTCAAATTTATGAAGGAAGATATAAAATGTAAAAATTAAATATTAACTCAAAAACATCACATGACACAATAAAAATAAACTCCGAAACTGTCTTCTTTTGACAGCTTCGAAGTAAAGATTAAGAGAAAAGTGTTTTATTTCATTTTTTTCTTGAACCAAATAATCACGAAATTCACAATAAACTCAACATGCTATAACGTTTGAATTTTCTAACTTCGTGCAGAGGAAAGGCGGAGGTATAAGTGCCATTTTTAATCAAACGTTGAATACCAACATGATATCTCTCAGCTTCATCAGTATCATATCTAGTTCGAATTAACAAATCATACACTAAACGGCTTCTTTCCGAATCATCAAAAAAAGTATCTGGATCTTCATGACCGACATAACTGTAATAGAATATTTTCATGCGGACAGCAATTATGAAAATGAGAAATGAACATTTGATAGCTGCAAAAAATATCCCATATTTTCTTCATATATTAGAGCAAATGTTTTTCGTTGCATTTTTATGCAATAGCATAGAAATCAAGAGTATTTTCCACATCCCTTACTGTATCAAACAATTACGCGAGGTTATTTGAATAAGCCTATTCCATGTAAGAAAGTTGGGTTTTTCTTACTTCGTGCAGAGGAAAAGTGGAAGTACAAGAGTAATCTTGAATAAACTGTTCGGAAAAAATCAACTAAAACAGTTAGCAATATCTCAAATTTTTATTGATAAAAAAATTTTTGAATGAAATTGCTGTGAGATCCTAGAGTAAAACAGACCATTTTATATGACTAGCAATGAATGGAGCTGTGAAATAGTTTGTTTCTTTCAATCGCACATTTGTTTTTTCATCATATGTGAAAAAACTGAATCGTTTTATAAATTTATCCAAAATTCCTTCAAAAATTGTCCGTTCCTAAAACAAAACAAACGAAATTTCAAACAAGAGGTGAATGGAGATAAATTTCGCTATTTCAATAAAAAGCTCAAATTTTCACCACGATCTTTTTATAATAACCCTGAAGTTAAATTCATCTAATTTAGCATTCTGAATGATACTATTTAATTATAGAATAAATTTCAATATCTTCGTTCCAAACATTTTCAATAAAGGTGGACTATAACAGTTACTCGACAACCTCTACCACAAATCTTTCTATTAATACATGATGTATTATTTGCATTGAAGTGATGAAGATAAACGAACTTTTATATCGCTTCGCAATACAGGCATTTTTAAAGAAAGACTTTCTGCTTGTTTCAAAAGCAACGAAAACGGAGCATGGACCAGCACAAATCGAGTTTTTTTACAGTGCTAAAAGCTAGGATATAGTTAGAGTTGCATTAAAAAGCAATACTATGAAATGTTTCAAGGTAACTATCTCCTAAGAGATAGAAGTGTACTGAACTAGATAAATATTTTACTAAGATCAAATAAGTTCCTTAAAAAAGTATTAAGCATCTATTATAATTACTTGCTAATCAAGAATTATAAATGAAATTGAGAAAGTACGGGAAAAGATCGTAGTAAAAAAAAGTAAATTTTTATAAAATTTACATTATAAAAGTCATTCATAACACAAAAAAATATCGTGGATCAAGAAGTCCCAAGTAATTATAAAAAATTTAGTATCAGTACCCACACACCTTCATCAACTTGACACGATTCAATGACCACCAGCTAAAGTCAAGAATTTGGAAGTAGAAATTATACCTTCCCATCGACATGTTCCAATTCCAGTCCTAACTGTCTTAAATTTATCTCGTACTGTAGTCGCTTGCTTGCTCTTTTTTCTTGCTTCGTTCTTACAGTACGAGGACTCTGCAATCATGATTTTAATTTTTCTGTAAAGGGCTCCATTATAAAATCCTTTTTTTTCTGTAAGAGTACATAAAAAGATTGTCAGATACAAAAAGACTGAATTTTTAAAACCAAACATCTGATTCGTGAACACTGCTCGAATCGTCCTCACCATCCATTTCATCATAATCATAAGTTAAGATGTAATCAATCTTCCTTTTGCCATCTTTAAAATACATTGTTTCATAATGTTTGGGCCTAGATCCTGATACGTCATATGCTTTCTAAAAAAAATAATTGTTGAGAATCTAGAAATAAAACATATAGGAGAAAAAACTACGTGCATAATATGCATGCACGTAGTTTTTTCTCCTATATATTTTATTTCTTATGATTATATATATATAAGTACGTTTACTTTATAAACTATAATTTTTTCATGATACTGTAACTACACATCTAACTTTTTACAAAAAACCTGTACATTATAAAATGAAATACCTACAAGTCTATTAGGAAGCTCAGTCATATGCATCAGTAGCGAGTCGTGCTCTGAATTCTTATTATTTGGGAAATAATTTCGATTACTATTCAACGAAGCTCCTAAAAAGCATTCTAAATAATGGATCAACAGATTAATCACATGTTAACCGCTGTTCTAAAAATGGAGGGTGAAAGTAAATATGGAAATCAAAAGTAAGCAAAGTAAACAGATCTGTAACAGAACGTAATGGGTGCCAAATTTTATGCAATGATGAAGAAATATGTCCGTTTTCATTTCATACTTTGTTATTTTGGATTAGCAGATAGATCTTTTTTGAAACTATTTCCAGTTAAGAATAAGATAATTCACGACAATGACAGTGAAAAGCGTTCCACATAGCTACTTCTGCATGTTTAAAATAATACGTTTGAAAACATTCAAAACCAGAACATAACAATCACCAAAAACATATAAATGTTAATGACGATTGAAAGAGTAAAAATTCTCATGCCAATACATATCAACCAAAACGATCTTGGACAAATCAGCCTACAATATAAATACTTCATGGCAGGTTGTTTTCTTGTACTGAAAATTTTTCTAATAACAACAAAGTCAAAATCATTGATTTTGCAGAGATAATGAAAATACCGTGATTTCAACAGCGTGAACGAACTATAACTCATATATTTTAGGGAAAATATCAAGAATTAAGTTAATAAATGTACTGTTATTTTCACTGTCTTTACGAAGTTACACATACACCACTTTCATACAATAGTGAAGGAAAACAATGGGAATACATTCAAAATAAACCGAAATGAATTAATAAATAACACTGTCTGAAAGATATAATGAGTTCTGTTTAATCGACACCTAATATTAGTGCTTGAAGATTAAAAATTAAAGTAACTAAAGTTGAAAAAATTCAGTAATCAGTATCTAAAAATGCGGCTAAAACTTTCGACACATATTTTTATCTTCCTAGTTGAGCTATTACAATAAAACAGAGCGAGGTGAAAAATGAAGTTGAATATAAAATCAAAAACAGAAACTTTTGAAAAAAATGATAATAAACATTTTTTTCAAGTACAAAACACATTTAAAAAAGAGTACAGCAAATTGATTACTATGACGAATGAACTAATCGTTCTGCTCACCAACAAATGCCTGCATTGAGCTAAAGGTCGAATTTACTATGTTAAATTTTTTCGATAATTCGAATTTAATATTTATTCAAAGAATGATATATTTTACAAGTTTTGGATCTTTAAGCACTTAATATTAGTGTTTAAACATTAAGCAAGGCAATGATTCATACCGATGACTCATTTTTTTTAAAATAAATTTAAATCGACCAGTCTTCACTTTTTTTTTGTCATTTATATCTAACAGCTAGGACTATTTCAGTAACTAGGCTAACTTTATTATTTTGTATCAACTAATTCATGCTTCATGCCTCGTAAATTATTATAAACACCTGGATTTTATGGTCAATTAAACAAATTAAAAACGAGGACAATGAAGTAAATACATAATCATTTACACGAAACAATCTCTTATCTACTGCTATAAACCATTAGAAAAACGATAAACTATTTATATGCAGACTAAACCAATCCCTGCCATGTTCATTAACTCAAATAAAGTTACTTTTAGTGCAATTATTATTACATTACAATACTAATAGTAAGCTCGTGATTTCAAAGTTTAATGAAACAAAAGTAACCAGACTACAAAAATTCCGTTTTATATTTAATCAAACTTTGCAATGAAATACCTGGTGATGTGCTGTTGCAGGCTGACGATAACCGCATGATATTACATCCAGAATGGTTCACACTGATTCATAGTATAAACAGCAGCAACCATCACTAAATGAAGTTAAAATTTTTTTGCGCAAAATAATTATATAATACAAATGAAAACATACGCAAATACGACAGGTCACAAAACAACATGATATTGCAGAAAAGTGATATCTGTATAACAAAATAAGCACACACACAAAATGAATGCGAAGAACAAAAGTTAGTACCATGAGAACTTTATAAAAATGTAACTCTAAGTCACACTAAAGCAAAATTAGGAGAAAAATCAGTTCCGAAACAAACTTCACCAAGAAATGCATGCTAGCAACGAGAAGAACCGCGCCTGTCAACCCTTTCAATTCACTGCTGCATAATTTTGTTGCTGTTCTCTACTAATTACGAATTTGATAAAGTCAATGCAAATTCCGATTAACAATACTACGTACTACTTTTTTCATGTTCAGTGATGTAATTTTCTAGCTCACACATCCCACGTAATGACAATACTACTTCAATATTTCAACGGCTCTTCCGCGAAACTTCAATATTTTTTGCTCTCAATGGCTGCTAGCAGTACTTACATGATTCCGATTACCAATACTACGTATTACTTTTTTCATGTTCTATTTGCTCCGAATAATTAATTATTAGATGCGATAAGTAAGCAATGCTCACATTCTAAAGAATGTAAATCAAAACATAAATCATTGTTGCTCTGTTTTAGATAGCCTTTTCCAGGCTTGGGAAGGATATAGATTTTCCGTATGTGGTACAAAACCTCTTAAAAAAAATACATCAATCAAGAAATCTCTCTACAAGCGACACAAAGGTCTTGTAATAAGAAAACGCATTTCAGTGAATTAAAAATGAGTCATCTCAGAGTACTGACTCATGCTCTGAAACATACTTTGCACGTTCTAGAGAACTTCTATCATTAACGTTAAGACTTCCCGCTGAACGTTTACGCAAAGTAGCATACCCCAGATTTATCGTTTCACGAGAATCCCTTATGCAAACTACGCGGCTCATTGTGATTAACAACTGAATGCTAATTTATATTAAAGCTTAACACTAAAAACATAATTAGTGTTTGTATCTCACAGTTTATACTTCCACATGTGTGACTATTACTATGATTCATACAGCTCGTATGATAAAAAGCAGATTGAAGCAGTTCAAAAGAGATAGTACTCGAGTAGAGAAATGTGCTCAGTATGTTGTCATATCAGTAACATGTATTGTAGTCTGGTATGTTAATAGTGCTAAAGTGCAAGTGAAGGTAGTGTGAAAAATAGAATTTTATTTAGTTAGATGGCGTGGTGACAGTGGTAAAGTATGAAATTTCAAATAAGATTTATGGAATCGTTTCTTTCAGTATCGGAACTAAACAGGGAATCACGCGAAGATTCCGAAACAGTTGGTGATGTCAGTAGGTTCTCGTCATTTCCTGTAATTAGTTTCATAAAAGTTTTGCCGTTTTTATTATTTTTCGGAGCATCTATTTTAGTAACTGCGTTTTTATTACTTATTCAAATGTTTTATATATCTTGGAGTAGAAGTTGTGTCAATTTCTGTATGTTTATGCGAAAAAAAAATTTCAATTTAAGGTGTAAACAAATACTACTTTGAGTCATCTCTTCACTTTCCGTGTTTCCGGCGCTGGAACTTCTCGCAAAACCTAAAAGCATGTATTCAACAAATAAACAACACGCTATTTCTTTGCAACCTTCCTGTCTTTTATTGGTTATAGATCAATTGAGTTTTTCTATTATTAGATGGTCCTTTATGGATGAATTTAAATTTACTGTTGTCTTCAAGGGAGAGAAGCTCATTCAAGTTAGGCAGATTCTTAATTATTACTGGGGTACTATCGTTCCCTGTAATACCTGTAATACTTTATTTTACTGATATGTACTTCATTTTTGGATTGAACATATTGTCTTATAGGGATAGAAATTTTTGAAGCTGTCATATTTCATCTTTTTAAACGTTTTTCTATTTGTATTTCAAGCATAATTAATAATTTGTTCGACAGATAGTATTTCAAAAAAGAGGAAATTAGCACTGTTTGTCCAATCATTCAAAAGGTTGAATTAATGGCTCTTGAATGGCCAGTACAGTTTGATGCATTCGAAAGGATATTTTTTTAAACAAATAAAATTTAAAAAAAGGAGTAAATGAAAGATAAAGTTCAAAAAAATTATTGCGAAAGATATACATACATAAGTTAATCAATCTAAACTCACTTTGTCGAAGCAGTTCCAAGGAATCATTTACTTCAGTACCACAAATTGATTCCTCGTCTAAACACGTAATCAACTTCAATGCAATTTGTTTCACTTGGATGGTTCACGTATTGTTATTAAAAAAAAGTTTTTCAACCTGAGTGTAGGTCGGTTGCATCACCAGTGTCTTCAGTATCATCGGTACTGAGATTTTCGTCGGCATTCATCTCTTCGTTTGTATGAAGCGTTTCTTCTATTTCAGTGATTCTATGCATGCCAGAACTGTCATTAGCGCTCGTAGCATTTCGTTCGCTATTCGAAAGGATATCGATGCTGCTTTCGAACTCATCTAAAAAATGAATTTATTACCTTATCATTTCACCTAAGTTAACTAATTCTAAATTTTTAAAGAGTAGAATAACTCAGTACTAAATAACATAATTACTCAAGTAGTTTCTCTTCTCAAAAATCAAAATCAAAATTTCGAAAAGCTAAAACCTGCTCAAGCATAAAAAACTCGATTATGAGAAAGTATGAATTCAAACTTGTTAAGTAAGAGGCAAATACTTTAAATCAGTGCATTCAAAGGTTATTCATTTACAAAAAAGGTTTCAAAGTGCGTGCTTTGCAAAGTTTAATGGCACTGCTGAGAATAATAGCTTGATGTTCTACTGGTACACTTTCATTAGCCTCAATGCAAGCATTTTTATTCAGTCCAAATTTATGGTTTCAAATTTTCGAGGTTCTTTATATTTTATAGCTGCTAGCGAAACCATATTATCAGTGAAATACAAATTATACATTTAATAAAGTAATTCTCCTATACTGAATATTTTTGTTAAAGCAACTCTAAATTTTACTGAAAAAGGTAATCAAAATCATTTGATTTCAGTAAAATGCGTTGCAACTGGCAAGTTTCTGATTTATTATTATATAATTATCTAGAATTTAGATTTCGCTTAATCCCTATATGAACGTTTAACACTATCTTCAATCAAAAACTTTTAGAATGTTAGATTATTAATTGCTAAACGTCAAAAAGATTCTTTTTTCAGTTTTTCAAAAGTAAGAAGGAGATAGTACAATACCAATTTCTGCAATATTAGATTCGAAAGTAGCTTCAACAAATGTCTCTGAATCCAAATCCGAGTATTCTGAGTAGGTCAAATGCATTTCACGACCTAAAAATGTATAAACGTATAAAATAAAGTATCTTTCATTACTAAAATATTAAATTTCTTATTTGTACACTATTTTTTTCATTAACTGAGATTTAATCTTGGATGATAGAATTTGAACTGCATTAGAAAAGTTCTTCTCTGTAACAATATGAAGAATTTATGAAAATGCTTCTGAAATTCTTATGAACCTTGCTCTTGTATCTTCCAAAGTGCTGGATTGCCTGTAAAGAAAATATTTATCGTAGGTCACAATTTTTAACTTAAAGAAAATTTAATGTACTTTGTCTTAAACAAATGTATATTAGATTCGATTTCCCAAGTAAACTTTTTCATAGCCTAAAAGAAATCGCAAATCTTGACCGAAAAGTGAACACCAAGGACGTCCATCATATTCAACGTCTGTCTCTGATGGTGGTTCTTCACATTCAGAATATACTAGGCGAACTTCACGTCCTGAAACATTCTAAAATTAACTAAAATTGTTAAATTATATTATTTCTAAATTCGTTATTTTTCATGACTGATTTTTTGTCTATCATTGAAACTTCATTCTGTTACTCACGAATTTTCGTTCAATGATAGACAAAAAACATGAGTTCTGTTACTCACGAATTTTCTAAGTTTGGTAGTTTCATTGAAATTGCTACGCTAAAAATTATGCTCCTTAAATTAGGCATGAGAAGGTACCGGTTTTTTTTTTATCATTGAAGAACTGGTCCATATCAATACTTGTTTCAGTTGATGGCTCACTGTATTCAGAATAAACAAGACATACTTCTTGATCAGCTTAACTTTGGTCAGTAATTTAAAGTGCAAGTGTTAAATTATATAATTATGGATCACTGATTTGAAAGCAGTTGCAGCCTTTCAAATCGCTAAATTTTCATTAGAGTTACTAAACACTTCCAAGATGTATGAAATTAATAAATAATAATTGAATTTCTCAAAATGCCTGCGCCTTCTCTGTTTATTTTTTCAAAAGAACAAAACATTTTTGTACATATTTATAAAACATTCTGATAAAATGTTAGTTTCTTTGCATGATTTCTGACTGCAGATCATTACTTTCTGCAACCCTTTGAATGAAAATGAGCACTTTTTTAGAAAGCAAAAAAACTACTTAACAATAGTGCAAAGAGATAATCTTTTAAAATTTTACATTTCATTGTACAATAATTATTTGTTCCATGTTCCGCATGATGATAATAACGGCCAGTATCTTCAAGTGCTAGAAGTATATTTATGAAATAATTTATTAAAATAATTAAGTGTGAAATCAATCTGAAATGTGAAAAAGCTATATCCGCAACGAATGATTATGCATACGTGATTTCACACTTGACCACCAGTAATGTTGCGGCCCTTCAATTACTTCTACAGCAGTTTCCGATGGTGGATCATCATATTCTGAATATACTAAGTGAACAGTGTGACCTAAAAAATTGCATTCTCTCTACTTTGCATATTTTGCAATCAAAGGATCATAATTTTTGGTGATTAGACTTGACATAATACCATCTTGCATGCTTAGGCCATCATTATCGCCTCCAGCTGCAGCATCAGTTCGATTGCTTTCGGTTTCCCGTGGTGATTCTTCTGCGTCTTCATTGCCTTGCATTACATATTCCATACTTACCAAAGTCACCGAGCAACCGTTCAAGTTGCTTATGAAAATGTTGAATAAAGAGTGACAGCAATTTCTTATTTTAAATACTTTTACAACCGTAATTTCTGTTCGTTCAGTCAAGAAATCTGTTGAGAATAAAAAATGTTGTTCTCGACATTTATTTACATTTCACTTTTTACTTAGTTGAAGTATAGTCGACTAAAATATGGGTGCCATATCAGCCATACTAATCATAGCTATTTTTCTCATCATCATTTACTTCTTCTGTTGTCGGAAAAAGGTTCAATTATTATTAATTCTTAAAATCTTTGAAATTGCAATTCACACTTAACAGAGAACTTAATAAACAGTGTAAAACAAATTAATTTTAATAAAACTTTAAAAAATTAAGCTTTCACTGGAGATTTTTTTTTTGTATTATAGTAATTTCTTAGATAAAAATAACAACTGTTTTGTAATATTTCCAATTAAAATGGATACTTTTGACTTAAATATACTTCTAAATTACTTAATGCAGAAGAATGCTGCTGTACTGGAATCTGACGTTTCAAGAGAGAGAAATTTTCAACAAAGCAAATCAACGCATCACAGACATATATCTGAACATCAAGACAGCACTTTAGCTCCTGAAGTCTATTATTTAACTGTTGATTGAAAGATTTTTAAATGCTTCACAATAAATACTTTTAGCAAACTATTCAAGAAATAGTAATGATTATTTTCTCAAAATTACATGCAATAACTGCATATCATCATTTTTCTTGCAGAAGAATGAAAGCAGTAGAGGATTACAAGAAGCTCAAACATCGACTGGAGTTGACTTAGGGGAAGGATCAAATTTTCAACGCAGTTCCTTAGCTCCAGCAGTAATTTCCTTTTTTTCACATAAAAATCAAAAAATTTACCTTCTCATAATTTCCATAAAGTCAAGACTGAAATAATCCCCAAACAATTATAGCTTTTATAATTTTTAGCTTCTTTAAGCTATTAAAATATCAGCTAAAACTATTTCTTTGTCTGCATTATAAATAGATTGTAATTTTACATTTTCACTAAAATTTCTTTTTCAGAATTCAACTTATTTAACTCCGACTATGACACGAGGACGTTCACTTCATCTCGATCCAAGCTAAATTCAATTTATCAACGGGTTAATTATTCCAGACGATTACATGGAAGAAAAATGATGAAAATATTAAATTTGACCAATTCTCTTCATTGAACTGATTGACTTTTACTGACATCACGGTAATTATAAACAAACATCTTATTCACATGGTAATGATTCATTAAACACATTCACACATTCACTTGATTATTTCATCAGTGACTGATTCTAACTACATAATAAATATTCTGGCTTTGAGAATGAATAATTATTCGCTTTGCTACATATTTTGATGAAAAATGCTGGAGTGAACTCTCGACAAAAAAGATTTTAGAAAGCATCAAAACCTAGAAAAAAGCATGAGATATTGTTTGCACGTGATACCTTCACTGATATTTTAAAGTAGAGAGGTCGAAAGCAAATAAAAGCATGTTGAATGACGGAATAAATCTATAATTTTCAGTGTCTTTTATATAATAAAGACATTATAGTAGGATATTGACCTCTAGCTATAAAATAAGTAAGAACAGTTTTTTAGGAAGAAATTGCTTGATAAGTTTAGCTGCACTTCTGTTATTGCTGCAAGTAGTAAATTCACAACAAAATTAGTCTTTTTACAATTCTATTTTTTTCTCTCGCATGACGATTGTGTCTGATTGTGAACTTCCATCAAATACAACTTCAAATTATGAAGCACTGCTGGAGATTTCAACCGAGTCAAAATTTTAAGCGTATTTATAAATAAATTTTATCGAAGTTGCTTTTTCATAAAGTCAAATTTTTTATGCTTGATTTTTGTGTTACAACTAAGCACTCATACATAAAAGTTATTTTTACTTCAGCTGCTATGAATTCTTAAAAGGGTAAAGAATGAGCACTCGGTGCAGATAATAAAATCAAAAATTTAGGAGTGATAAATAATTTCAATAAATACCATTTTCAAATTATTCATTTTACAAAATAATCGGTGCAGTAAATTACTGAATTGGATTGCGTACATTTATTTTGTGGTAAAACCAAGAATTCCATAAATTTAATTCTTCTCTGTCAATCAAAACAAGTTTGCTATTTACGTTTTTAAGTATTGCAGTTATCAAACGATTATTTGTTATTTTTCTTTCAAAAAGCTAAAACTGAATATTCAACTTAGCAAATAATTTGGCAATATTAAAAAAATTCAAATTTAGAATAACTTTTCTCTCAAGCCTTTTTGTAGTTTTCAATAAAGGATTTTTTTTACTTCATTTTTAAGATTCAATTCTATTGAAGACAAGTGTTTGTAGCTGCCTGTCTTACTACATGTTTTAAAAAAATAATCCTGAAGTTTTTTCTTTTTAAATACTTTTATAGTATTTTATTGTTAAAAAAGCAATGTAAGCATGTTGTATTCTTCTATTGTAAAGTAAAGTACAAAATAGAAAGAAATTCTAGTGGAGCAAACTTTTACAAAAGAAAATCACTTTGAAATCGGCTTTGATTATGATATTTCATTTTTTTGCTGACTAGTACTACTACTTTCATCCATTTACAACATTTTCATTTACAAATAAATGTCTTTTTTTGTTGTAACTTTCTTTTGCCTTCTTTTTTATTCGATGCTATGAATGGTTAGACGAAAAAGTATCATTTTCTGCTACGCATAATTTTTTGGTGCTTGCTTCAACTACATCGACACATTTTACAATGTTTAGCAACTTTTCTGCGTGCATTATTATTATGATTATTATTACACAAATTTCTATCAATGGTAATTATGCTTCTGTTCTACAGGTAATCATTTTTTCTTCATCATTACTGACAAAAAGTAATCATTTTATTGACTAACTTAATACAATTACTTAGTTTCACTTCCATAGCACCAAATATTTTGAAAGGCCCAAATTCCTTATTTTTTACATATAAATGAAATAATTCAGTGTTTAGCACAAGATTAATATTTTGCTGCCGACCCAAACAACTATTTTAGTTTATAATATGTTATTTTATTAAATGTTAAGCAGTTTTAGAAAAATTATGGATAATATTTTCAAGAAGTAAGAAATTTCACTGTTGTTAATAAAAGTATTATATGATGAGTAAAGGACGAATAAACTAAAGAAGTAATTTTTAAGTATTCAGTTAGTTCAACTTTCTATTCATGAAATAAATTATTTTTTGTAAAAGCAGTAGATGTATGCACAAGTTGGTAGTACCAGTTTTCGACTTTACTGTTAATTGCTTGTTGTTTCAGAGAAAGTGTGTAAAACCGACACAACTTTTTGCTTTGGTATATTAATAGTTAGATTATATGGTTTCATAAAGCTGAATTTAATACCTCAAATACGTATTAAATGCAAAGATGCAGTGTAATTCCAGTGCCAGAATTGTATGTGTGTACCAGATTTTTGTTCGCAAACAGTACCTCAATCATTATGTCCATGTGATGGTGCACAAATACCTTGCACTTCTCAACAAGTGTCTTCTGGTCCTTCTACTACTCTCCCATTGACGGAAATAGCTAATCTGAATGCACAACCTAATGTGTTTCCGAAATCGACTATCACCTTGCAGCAACCACATCATTTTCTACTTCCTTCAACATTTAACCAATTCATACAGCAACAACAACCTCAACTTATACACTCTTTAAATTTATGGCAAAGGCCGGTAACATCTCAAGGCCAACTGAAAATGCAACAACCAGCAATATCACCACCTCTTTTTATCATTCGCACGATTCAGCAACCTAATCAGGTAATGCAACATATTCCTACTGCATCTCACTTATTCGTACCGCTGCAACAGAAGCATATTTACTTATCACCTTCGTTGCAACAACAGCAACACTATGAATGGTCATCTCAAGTATCTCTCAATCAACCTATTACTCTGCAAGTACCAGGTAAAGTCACTTCATGTTTCATTGCGTAAGATATTTTTTATATTACCACAATAATTATCAATCAGTAATACTAATGGACTGAAAATTTAAAAAAATTTTTCAAAAATTTTCAACAAGCAGAGTTCGTCTTAACTAGCAACAATTTTTTTCAGTGAAAATGGTAGAGGATTGTAGTTTACGTTCAAATATTTGCCCATCTGGATTACCATCCATACATGCAGTTACAACATGTGATAATCGTTATTCTTCATGTCAGTTATTTTATCACGCTAATTATTACAGTGAACAAATGAAAATGAATAGGAAATAAATACCATTACTTTATGATCTGAAAAATTTTTTCTCTGATATCATACCAGTTTTGATTAAAGATAAGCAAGATATCAACTTTATTGAGTCTTTTTTATTGGCTAGTCGATTTGCTAAGAGTTTAACTGACTTATAAACCAAAAAAGTTATTGCATATACTTCTAGCAAATCAAGATAACTTTCAGATTCACGATGCATCAGCTCCGAGGAAGCACAAAAATTGTATTCATGCAATTCAAATTTCAACTTTGAAAAACTATGGGATCAGTGATAGTTATGACCCCTTACTTGTTGACATAATAAAAATTTGTGAAAAAAAGAGAATCAAAATTGGAAATAAATCGGGGTAAAATTCAAACTGATAGAGCAGACAGTGAATTTTCAGAAAAATTATCAAATTGACCAAGGCAAAATTCAAAATGCAAGGAACATTTCAAAACGTAAATTTTCGTTACATATTTACTCTTTTAGACCAATATATTTCACAAAATTCACTTGAAAAAAATTTTCCGATGTTCAGCATCGTAATCACATAATAAATTTATACAAGAATGCAGTGTTTTAATCAAATTAATAAGATTCAATTAGCAGCATGCATTATATTTTTAAAGTAATGACTCTAAAAAAAGAATACAATCAAAAATTACAAACAAGACTATGTTGCTTTTAACTCATCAAAGTAATTCTGCTATATCATATCAAAAAAATATGATCTACCATATCAGTGCAAAAAGATATCAAAGTAATCGTTATGTAGGAGTAGTCGTTTGAGTCGTTCAAAATTAACCCTCTCACCAAACTGTTCTTCCAAATCATTAATAGCTGAACTCCACTCTTCTAAAATCCGTTTTTCACGGGTTGCTTGTCGTTTGATTAGTTCTACATGCGTTCGAACAATAGATGAAGTAGTCTGTTTTGCATCCACTTTTTCCATATTTGCTATAATTAAATGTCACTTATTGCATAATTGAAGAACTTATTCAGTTTAAAAAGCATATTCCATTTTTTGAGCATTATATTTGAATATATGTTGTTAGATACTGATATCTTCAAAATAGACATCAAGCGCAGATTGCACAGATTACCTTCAATATCCTTTAGTAAAATTGGGATAAACGTCGTTGAAAGATTATTATCCGGTTCTGAATATATTGTTTGCACTGCAGCGTTGCGTTTACTTTTCTCTTCATCAAATCTTTTTTTACTGCAAACATCTGAAGTTTTATAGTAAATTTTTTTACAAGATGAAGGTTTACTTTCGGACATGAGATGTGACTTTATATGAAACTGCTTTTTTTTCTGGTGACTTTCATAATCGTATTCATGATGTTCTGAATCGCTTGTAGTAATAAGTAGTTCATTATGATGACCACTTTGATTATTTGAATTTTGAGAAGATAATGTGCTCTTGGAATTAAAACTATTTCTTCTCAACTCATATTTATCAGTACAATCATTCCAAGAATCCGAGCACGAAGTATTGCATTTACTATTTCGAGTATGTTTTGGCTTTGATGAGTGCTGTTTTATTCTTGTCCTTGCTGATGCTACAGTATTATCTTTCGAATAATCATTACAAGTGCCCCCGTCGGTACTTGCTGTATTGTGAATGCTTGAAGAAATCGTTTTGGATGAATCAGAATCATTTTCACTATCTTTACTGCAAGCATGCTTTGTTGGGAATGTGGAGGATTGAATATCATTTGATATTGTTTCTTCAAAACTATCCATATTATATACAGTCGCATCATCATTTTCATTTGTTGCTATGATCTCTTCCAGAATGGATTCAGTTGAATGGTTATTATTTGAAGCTAACGAACTGCTGCCAGTAAAACTTGATTTTTTAAATGGTGATCGTTTCGTATTGAAATTATCATTACCAATCTACAGAAGAGAAATTTCAGCACTGACAAATATTAGACAAAAATAAATTAAAACACACTGCATTCAAGCAGCAGTGATATCAATTAAAATAATAAGAAACTATAAGATTCTTTCATTTGGTACCCCAGCTATTTATAAAAAAGAGCTTCAGTTCTTGCTCTTAGACTTTAACAGTTTCTTAAAAACAAACTGAACTTACTTGGAACTGCTTGGAATTCATTTTTCTTAACTGAGAAAAGTAATGCACTGGATGTGCAGGTGTTTCGAAGGTTTATAAATTCACAGTTTATTTTCTCGTAAATATGAAATAAACAGCAACATTATTTGAAACTATGCAGATTCTAAATTTCTACAAAACCAAGCAATGAATAAAGCTAATTAATTTGGTTACGCTTTTTATAATACATAGTTAGAGCGGGAATCGCGTAAGTGTAAAGCGGTAATTTTCATGACACAACAGCTGACCTCAAACATAGTTTTTATACATTAAATTTGCAAAGATGAAAAATATGATTTTTGGTTGTTATTATTGGTATAAAGCTAATTGAAAAAGTAGAAAAGGATGTGTTTTTTTGTTTTTTCTTATCTCATTATTTCAGTCCTCAATGAAAATGTTGGCAATTATAATGTTTAAAGATAGGCTTTGCAAAATTATTCTAAGCCGAGTAAGCTAAATATGATATCTAAGCAACTTTTAAACTAGCAGAATTTTTTATTTAAGTGAAGTAAATCCCTTCTAGAATGGATTCGGCTAAGTGGCTATTACTTGCAGCCAACGGAGAAAGGGAGAAACAAAATATAGTTGTTGACCAAATCATAACAAAAAATTTCCTCATAAAAATATTCCAATCTGTTTTTCAAATTTCTTGAAAAATTAAAAACCTTCCTTGAATTGACTACAAAGTTCATTATTGTAAATAGGGTGATGTCAAAATTGAAGTTTTTTGAGCTAAAATTTTATGGTCATCAGCAAAATACCTGTCAGTACTAAAAATTTGCATATTCGACATTGTTCCCTTTGACTAGGCATTAATACTTTTCTCCCATCAATACTTACTTCTGAATGAAATCTCAAACGAAAGTATTTAATCAAAGTGAAAAAAAAAACTTTACTAAGGTAACAGAAAACGTAGTTCGAAATTTAATGATACAATTGTGCAAAACAATTTTACTGACTCAAATACGTACGTAGTAGAACAAGTGTTAATGCCAGTAACCATGGTTACATTCATTCACTTTTCTGCTATAAACTTCAATCAATCAGTGCTTATGCAAATTTGAAGAAATGTATTCAACCCATATTACGAAAAAGTGAAATTTGCAAAAAATTTCGTCAATAAACTACACAAGTACTTTGGTAGTTTCTAGAAAAAACTGGGCATGGCCAGCAGCGCTGATTGAATTTACATGCAAGGCAAGGAGATACAAAGAGAACAGATAACTTTTGCTCTCTCTGAGACAGATCAACAGAAAATTATCTTCACAACAAAATGAACGAAGACACATAGTTATTTTCAACAAAGTAATAGTATGGAGACAGTGAAAAGATTAAGAAATGCTTAGAAGGGTGTGACAGAACAAAACTAACAGAGTAAAATAGTCAATTTCCACTTGACAAAGTCGAGACGGAAACAAAAAATTCACGTTTTGACTGTGAAAGCAAAATAATAAAAAATGTTAAAATGAAATAAAATGAAACAAAGTAAAGTAGTGCATTTGGCATTCAGTATCAAATCTTTTATTATGGAAAAGTTCAAATCTTGTTTGTTTGCGATTACGGTGTCAAAAAGACTTTTATTACCATGGTTTGACAATTATGTAAGTGAAATTTTATTTACTTATTTTTAAAAAAAGTAAAAATTATAATTTCTTTCGCAAACAGCTTTCTTTGATACAATTTATTGACAAATTTTTGATATAATTTATAAAATATCGATTGTTAAAGGTTGTAATTTTTATTACCATACTTACTACTTTATAGATTTTACTTCCATGGTAATCAAGTATTAAAATTCAATGTTGCTTATAATCACATGTACTTCAGAATCCTGTTGACCAAAATTGAAATAGTCATGAGACAGATATCAAAAAACTAAGACACTAAAATTACACAGGCAACTTTTCACTGAGACTCCAGTTTTCATCCCCGCCCCAAATATTGCTCTTACTACTTTCATTGGCTGTCTTACCCGAGGACTGATCGGTCGGTTTTGGGTCTCGGCTCATTTATGATTGATGCCACTTACAGCGTGTGAGGTGTGATGTGTGGTGTAGTGCTACCTACTTTTGTTTTGTTTCCGTAATGATACTTTTTTATGTTCACGTGAACATTTCGCTATTTTAGCTTCACTCTCTACGCAGTGACCTTTCCAAGGAAACAAGTGCTTCAAACATAGTCGTCAAAAGTGCAGGTGTTTGAGGCATCATTTTATAGCTGTAAAAATATTTACGGCTGCTCATTAAGAGAAAGTGGGCACTGACATGGACTTAGCTCTGTGAAAGAAGTTAGTTTCAAGTTTTCCTTTTTTTAGTTGCTCTTTCGAATTAACAAATAATTGAGGTCATATAAAAATAAAATATCATGTAAAAAAAAGGAAACTTTTTTTTGATTAGCCATGTAAAATCTTGCTATAGTACGCATGAAGCTGATGTACTTGTATCTTGCTTCATTATATTCAAATTTCCAGTGAGGAACGTAATTTTATTCCAGAAAATTTACATGAATGGGATGACCTCGCTTGAAAGCTTCAAGAATGGAAAATTAATTGAGTAGAAAGCAAGCGATGGTCCTTAATTTGAAGAAGTTGGAGCAGAACATTAATTGGAGCAATTTGAGCTCTATAAATCGAAATTTTCAAAGGATGGATGTAATTATGGCTTCGAGAGTGAAATTGTTCTGCGATTGCTTCGAATGGCGGAAAAAAATGAAATTTTTATAAACATTATTTTAATTAATGGTGTGGTATGCTTATTGTAGCATAATATTTTTGCATTTTTATTAAACACTGAGTGGGAATTATATTAGCCCACATGAAAGTGTCCTTATTACATAATTTTGTTATCATATTTTATTTTGTTATCATATTTTATTTTTAAATATATTATCTGTCTGCATGTTTAATAAGTAAAATGTCTGTATTTTGTAGTATAATATTTCTGCGTTTTTATTAAATATTGTATGGAAATTATATTAGCTAATGTGAAAGTCTTCTAATTACATGATTTAGTTATATTGTTTTATTTGTAAATACATTTTCTTCTATGTTTAATTAGTATAATGTTTGCATTCTGTATATAAAAATTTCTGAAACTTGTTTGAAGTTTTGATGTTTTAAAATAAACTGTCTTTTAATAATGTCATACATGTTCATCTTGTTACAATACACCCATCTAATAATGTTTAGAAAGAAGGAACAATAACGGTATATGAGTAATTATAGAGTTGGAGGACTTGTGTATCATGTAGGATCGGTCTGTTAAGTCTGTTAAATCCCGAGCGTCTAGTGAGAGTTGTGCAGTATCATTTGAGATTATTTATGACATGAAAATAAAGTAATAATCTCCAAAGTTGATGTACTGCTTTAAAAATCCACTTGGTTACAAAAGTAAAACAAACTTATGCAGCAATTAGAAATCAAATATCAAGTAAATAGGTAATGATCAAGAAAAGAGAGCTTCCTGCATCAAGGAGGATATTGGTTGCTTGAAGAAGTTTGAAATAATCTCAAGGAACAAATTGTGCTAATCTTTACGGAAGTCAGTTGTTTCAGAAGTATGGAAATTCAGTTTAATTTACTGACCCTAATAATCTGAGCATTAATAAGGATAAATAGCCATAGTGATAATGTGAAGAATAATAAAGGAGGACTACTCCTCATACGTTTCGTTGGTGATAGCAAAGAAAGAACTAATTTGCCTCTTTTGTTAATGAATGTTTCTGAGGCTAGTAGAAGTCAAATAAGAAAATACAAATAATAAAGTGATTTAATCAATTGTTTTTTTTTCTTGGTATAAACTGCAGAACCCATCATATATAAGGTGATTATTGATTTTCTCGTGAAAATAAACATGTCAGAAGTATGGATTTTTATTTATTTATTTATTGACTCTTCGGTCCTCATTGTTTACATCAGAACCAAGAAATGCCAGTAACTTAAAATCTAAGTAATGTTGTGACATGTATATTTGCACGACGAAGTTTTTATCTCCAAACTTTAATTAATTTAATAAACTGTGTGCACTAATCTAAGTTTTTTTTTTTAATTTTTGTTACATTCTTTAATTAATGAACCACTGAACTAAACCATGAAATAAAGCTAAAGATGTCTAAAGATGATTGTAATGTTCAAGTACTGAGGATAATAAGCGGGCAAAAGATGAGGATATTGTTGAAGAGATTTGCTATGCAAGCATCGGTCACTCAACTACACAAGAATACTGTTAATAAAACTCTTTTCAAACTGATTGTCTTTTATGCGCTCAGTTTTTGATTTATGTTGTCTGCAATATACACTACATACCAACCATACATCACTCAGTGTTTATAGTAATTTGTACATCTGTATTTGTTATGTCATTTAGTTTCATCTTTTTTCTGTACAGTACAGTTAAACATTTTGCTCAAGTCTATGGTGCTGAAAAAACAGTAAATGGTTTAAAGGCGCGTTGTTTAATCCATTCTTTCCTATATCTGGTCATTTTCGTGCAATATTGCCCACAACTGTAGCAAAACTCTGCATTGGCATTTATGTGTTTGATATTTCTCGTAATTTTATAATTAAATTGAGCAATTGGATGAGTAAGTAGTAACTATTCGCATTTTAAAAGTAATTAAAAGTGATGAATCATAAATGAAAATGATTCATTAAACTCAACTAATGCTAATTACCAAAAACTTATTGGATCACAGTGTAATGAAGGATATAGAAAGTGAAAACAATAAACTGCAATAAAATCCCTTCCAAATATTTACTTAAAATTAAAATTTTAAAATATTAAGGAATTAAAACGAAAAAAAGTATTGCATATTCACAAGTTTGCTGTTGTCAAGAACAAAATAATAGGCATTGCCGTGTCGAAAACTGTTGCGACTACAACTGTGGAAACAGAAGCAATAAAAGAAACAAAAGTGTCTGAAGGATAACTAAAATTTTAATTTCTCGTCTATTTCCTCACTTATTGCTTTTAGTTTTCTTGTCAAATAAAATCCTTAATCTTTAT